ATTAACTAATTATGCTAATAAGGTAATTAATATGCACAAATATTTTACCCAAAAACTAATTAGGTCTCTACACAGTCCTCAAGTAACTATGTACCAAGTTTCATTGAAACGTGATCATTACTACTCGAAATATCAAAAGCTGAAAATTAATTAATTATGCAAATTAGGTACTTAATATGTACTGATATTACCCTAAAAACTATCAGGTCTGTGCAGTGTCATATGACACCTATGTACCAAGTTTTATTGAAATGTTATGATTAATACTTGAGATATCAGTGGAAAAACCAAAAATTGATTAATCATTATGTAAATTAGGTAATTAATAATATTAACAGATTTTTACCCAAAACAAATCAAAAACGTTTTCTAGTGTCCTTGGTTCCCCAATGTTGAATACGATGCTGTTGGTAGTACTATAACCACATATCCCACAATGGAGGGCAAGTATATTACACATGAACGGAAACTACGTACATGACATCTCATTTGCGTGTTGTTTTTTTTGCCTGAAAATCTGACAAATATACCCATTAAAGGTAATAATTTTATTAACAATGACACATGCCCGGAGGAATTGGCAAAATTACAAATATTTAAGAAATAATATAAAATAATAATATTAGGACTATATTATTATATTATAAAAAAAGAAAATAAGATGTAAAACTTAACTGTCACTGGGGTTGCTGTTTTATTTCAAAACACTTCTTTAGGCACCTTGCTACAAGGAGTGTTAGACCACCGTCGTTTAGCAAGGCTATGAATTGCGTCTTTGGTGACAAATAATTTTGTTTTTTGCCATTTCAAATAAGAGATTTCTGTCGGGGGAATACTAGTAACAAAAATGAAAACTTGTTAGTTTATCTCACTTTATTTATGTTGCACCAGTTATTACAGCTCGACAATAATTTTTGCAACTGACTACTATTTGCACAGCAAAATTATTTGACGGATTATTTCCCCACTTTTTTTTTTATATTTAGAAATATACAACCTAAAATGCGTTACGTGCGTGTTTAATATGGGAGCATGCTCATCAATATTGAGAGAGGGATCCACCACGGATCGGCAATCCCTAAAATAGATTTGATATTAAACATTTGGCCAATTCTTAAATTAATAAATTAATCAAAGAAAGTTTAGAAAGAACTCCCGTGTGCTGAGAGTTTTGGAGACACATTAAAAATTAATTCAAAATTACTTATACTTGAGATATTGATGGAATAGCTGAAAACTAATTATGCAAATAAGGTAACTAATATGAACAGATTTAAGTGTAAAACTAAAGGT